TGAGCTTTTGTAGGCCCCCCCCCCCCCCATCACATGAGCCATTTTGCATTCGATCTCCGTCGGGCCACTGCCCTTGTTTGGCCGCTTTTGGCTTTTCGACCCCTACCAGGCACCACATCCATGTTAAGTTGCTTCTGCAAGGCAACTGCCTGTTCCTCCTTCCTCATGTCTCAATAATCAGGATCATACCAGCAATCACCCCGGCAGCAACATGTCAAAGCCGAAGGCAATCGCTTTAATCCTAGTTCTTACACTATGCTTCGTCGGTGCCATCATCATCATCATCATCATCATCATCATCATCATCACACTTCTTCAGCATCCTCATCATCAGCCTCGCTTTGCCAGCCTCGTCATCACCGTTCTCATCATCGTCGTCCTCCTCCTCCTCCGGCACAGCAGATGCCAAAAAGCTCGGGTCGTGATTTCGTGTCTCTCGCATGGCAGAGCCCTGGCAAAGTCTGAAGGTGGCACTACCTGCGTCCAGCTGCGGCTGAAGAACGTCGGAAGCTCGGGGGTGCATTGAGACACATGTCAGATGGCGGTTCTGTCACCCTTGGTCCATCCTACCTGTAGAGCCTGAAACCTCAGACCGCAAACCCAAATGCGTCTACTTGTACCCCGTCTAAAGCCGAAATCCTGGTCTCTAACCGCTGCTGCCAACCCACCAGCGGCACCAACAACTGAAATCAGACCCAATCTCGAGCGTCCTGGTCCAGAACTACTCGAGAAGGTCTCCACTGCCACCTTCGTGGACTGGGGACACCAGGCGGGGCAAAGCACGGCTGTTACAATCGTGTGGCAGCCTCTGCAACAACAGAAAAGAACAGTAGCCGTCGTTGCAAGTACGGCTCCTTTTCCTTGTCCAAACCGTTTGTCTGCATCATATACACATATTGTGCATGTACCGAAGATCTTCTACATGTACACATACACGCAATGCAGTAGAGACCTCTGATGACTCCCTGTGCCCCCAGCAGCCCCTTCAGATTCGGGAGCTGACACGCAAGCACGGCGTGCCACTCATCGTGGATGATCGCCTTGATGTCGCACTGGCTGTTGACGCGGATGGGCACCTCGCTTGAGTTTTAGAAGATGGAGGCTAGCACAGAAACCCGTAAATAGTTGGATTGCTTGTATCATTCCCAGCAACAGTCGTGCGAAGCCATCCAGGGCAGGACCCGCGACACTTGGTCTCCTGTACCTCCCGTGCGCACAGAGTTTCTCTCTACCGGAGACATTGGCAAGACCTGCATGTTGTACTCAACTCGCTCCTTGCCCTTTGGCGCGCTGTGTTCATCTACCTCATCATCATCGTGACAGGCACCATTTTTCGCAGCTTGATGGTCATGTCCATGTCTATGGTCATGCTATTAATGAGACCGAACAGCAAGAAGTGGATGTGTAGTGACATGTAAGACATGTATGGCGATGATGGTGGTGATGGTGAAACTCATCACGAGAAAACGTGCGGTGGAGGCGGCAATCATGATGCCGACGAGGATTGTGATAATGTTCATGCCTGTTGTGATGACTGAGACGTAGACATGGAGACAGTGGTTTTGTAAATGTTGCAAGGCTCGCGTCGACCCATGCGTGAACCGATTTGCTCCTGCCAAAGAGTCCATGCAAAGACTCAGGGAGCAGTTGCTTTTTTGGCTCTTCACTTGCATGGTCTCGTGAACCCGAATGCAGTCTAATTCCGAAGTTCACGTTTTCTTGCCTTCCCCGGAGGACCCCACACAATAAAGAACACATAAATCCCCAGCCCTCAAGGCCAAGCTGTTGAAGCTCAGACGTGCAGCTATCTTGCTTCTTGCTTCTTCTTGTTGACGGACTCTAGACCCTAAACCCTAAACCCTAAACCCTAAACCCTAAACCCTAAACCCTAAACCCTAAGCCCTAAATGTTCAAACGAAATCGAGGCTTCACGTTGGGGGCGAGGATCTGCCCTGGGCCACGGCACGTCGGTTGCTGGGCCCTACGAGGAGGGCCGAAGTGTTTCCCATTGTTGCTACAGCTCTTTGCGTCTTTTGCGTCTTTTAGGCGGCTTCGTGTGTTGCTGGACTTGTTTCTATTGCTGTTTCTACTGCTTGTTGTGCCATGAATGCCAATTTCCATGGTCCTGCCACTTTCTGCTCGCACCATGAGCACAAGACGCGTCGGGCTCAGCGCCAGTGGCTCGAGCCAGGAGATCGGAGCGCAAGGCCCTTAAAGATGAAACCCTTGGGGCCTTCACCCGGTTGCCGAAGGCGTAACCCGGACTTCCTTGCAAAGAAGAATTCGTAGACCAAGTGTTTGCTGCAGACATCGCCTCCCTACGACAATCCAAACCCCCAAAGAAGTAGGCCCTCAGGCGCTTGAGCTGAAGCCGAGGAAACAACCCGACAGACCAAGGATCATACGGATCAGACGACACAGTGTACCGAAAAATGCATTTCAACATGACGTAGTGCCGTTCCATGCAAGAGGGCAGCGTCTAGCTGCGAGGCTTACAGTTCCAAAGATCACTGCAAGTCCTAAACCCTAAACCCTAAAATAACTGGCTTGGTTCTGGCCGCCATGGTTAAGCTGCCTGTCCGCCGCAAGGCTCGGATCGACGAACTCAAGACATACAACGTCATAAGTAGTAGCGCAGCTTTGATGACGATGACTCAGTGACCATTATGATCAGTCGATCGGCTACTACATACTAGCAATAGCAGCGGCGGCAGCAATGAGAACCGGTGTCGTGTTGATAATAGTCTTGGCAGCAGGTTTCATCACTTTGAACTGGAAAGGTAGGTTGAAGTTCACAGGGTGTTTTCTACTTTGTTAACCTTTCATCTTGGGACTTCGAGCTTCGGAGCCAGCTTCACGGGGACTTCTGCGTGGCTTTTCGACTTCATTAAACAGTCGGCCTCGGACCGAGGTTGCAAGCACCCCGATGGATTGAAACCCAGCATGTTCCAAGCTTCATCCCGCAAACTCGCCGTAGTAAGGACTGGGACGATAGCCAGAATAGCAATTGCAATTCTTCTGCTTTGGGTTACTGGAACCTTCTCTCCCCCCAAAACCCGAAACTCCCACCTCGGATAAGGGACTTGAAATCAATTCCCAAGCTCCAACCCGGGACCCTCAAGCTTGAGCCCTTACCCCGCCTGTCCAGCGCTGCGCGGATGGCTCGGGGTCGGATGGTTCCCGTTGCTTCGGTGTGGCTGCCATGCAGGGCTGGCGGGAGGCAAGCCAAAGGGCGAGGGGATTTTGGGTTTAGGCGTTTATTGGTTGGATATTCAGCTTCTTATTCTTGGATGTAGAATCTGCTGTGACGGGGCCAAAGGTTTTCTTTCCCCCCGCGACCGGACGGCGGCGGCAAGTTCTGCCGCCATCGTCAATATATCCTGTACAGGATGCATAGGAGATAGGTGCGGTTGCTCATAGTAGCAATGGGGACGGCAAGAGCAACGATACTCACAGCAGCCTTGACATGATTCATTGTCGTACAGGCAGGGCGCTTATAGGCCTTCGGCGCAATAGCCACAGTCGTGCTTGTGTTTGCGCGTATCATGGCCAAACACAGATAAAGGTGTGGATGTCAGTTTACGTGTTCTAGCTTCCTTTGCTTCCTCTGCTTCTTCTTCTTCTGATGTTCACTTTTTCTTCGTACTTCTCCCTGGTAACGAATCACCAGGGAAGTTAGAATTCCTGAAGCTCAGCACCCAGAGTCAAAACTGAAGGCTTGTGAGCTTTGTGCGCTGAAGTCCCGAAGTTCAGGCTCCGAAGCTTCGATCCGACCCTGCTACTAGAGGGGCTTAAATAATTACCAATACTATTTTGGGGGTTCCTTGTTCTAATTATAATATAAGGGGCCCCAAAACCCTATTCCAATTATTAAGGCTCCTCTATTACTCTCTTTGAAACGCTTGGGATTTTCGTTGCGGTTCATTTGCGGGGTCATGGTTCTCTCCTGGTCAGTATCAACATGACGAGTGGGATGGATGTTGCAAGCACGGATTCTGTTGATGCTGATGTTGCTTATCTTTGTATTCTCTTTCTGATTGTCGTTCATCATTACTGATAGCTGTTAGTATTGGTATCATGTTGTGGTGGGGGGCGGCTGCGCACTATCGCCCAGGGTCTAGACGTCCTCGGAACACCCAGATCCAAAGCAAACCTAGACAGGCCCTCGCACTCAAATGTCGTTACTCATCATCTACCGTCAGAGCAGTTATGGCTGGGTTTATAGAGCCTCGAAGGGCTGGGTTTATAGAGCCTCGAAGGGCTCAGGATCCCAGGTTGTCGGACTGGAAGCACTCTCTCAGAGAGCCGCCTAGAGTCTCGATCACGGCCACGCAAGCTACGCCGAAGTCGAAGGACCGCCGGATGCAGGGGGGGTTCCATCAGGCATCGAATCCGCAGCCCGAAGCCATGATCGGAAAGAGTCTGCCGTTGCTTGGAAGAGGAGAAGTGAAAGTCCATCGCGCAGACTGATTTATCTCGAGGCTTTTTGTGTCATTCAGTGTGTGAGTGTTAATCAGAACCACAAACCACACATTGTGGGAAGCAGATTCGTCTCCCTTCTGCTGGACCGCGTTGTTCTCAGAGCATCCTCCCTTGCCGCCATGGGTCCATGTGCGACCTTCGCCGCCTTGCTGGCGCTCGGTATATTCCTGAATTACCTGGTGCAGTTTTCCAAGGTGCAAACTCTTCCTGCAAGCGAGGCTCCCATGGCGATGTGGCAGCGACACCAGAACGAGGACCTCCCCGAGCGGGTGCGGGGCGTTCTCTGGATGAGAGGCAACACCTGTCCAGAGCTGATGTTGACCTTGGAAGCTGCTGCTTTTGACAAGGAAAGTCGGGAGCTTCTCCTTCCGTTTGGAACCGGGTATAGCTGGACCTACAATTCTGACTTTGGAGGCTGGCTGGAGTATGGAGCCGTGACACTGAACATGGCCTTCTTGAGCCCCGGGAAGCTGAAGGTGGTCTTCGACGAGGACTTCAGGTTCGGCACGGTGCAGATCTCCTTCCTTGGCATGGGCTTGTCGGGTCATCTATGGGGTATGAACCAGACGGATGACGTGGGAAACTTCTGGGACAGAGTATTTTGGGATGATGGCAAGTGGCTCTTCAGGTATGACATCAAGAAGGTCCTTGATGCGGACGGAAAGAAGCTGCCAGCACAATCGCAGATGGTGAACGCCACGCTTTCGGGAACCGTGGTGCATGGATCCACCTGCGGTGTCACGACCCAGGTGAAAACCTACAAGCAGCTGCTTCATGGAGATTTCTCTCTGCTCCAGACCTTCCTGTCCCTCCTCTTCCTTGCACTTTGGTTCGGCTTGGTTTATTTTTGTTTCAAGGATGGTACGAAGGCACCATACTTCCACTACAATCTGCTATAGTAGATGTGAGACACTATCTTGCCATCTTTCTAGACATAATTACAGTTGCATTGCCCAATGCATGTTGTGCGTATACTTCAAGTAAGCTCCAGTGTTTCTGTTCTACTTTCTCCTTGTCTGCCGTCAAAAGACGCAGACTGCGCGATTGGCCGAGCGCCCAAGTCTCCGATGCACTGTCCCAGCCTCTGCCACCCAAGAAAAGTGGGAGAGTTGCCTCTTCCTCTGGATGGTCTCTGGGCTAATTTGTACTTGCCAGCCTGGCATGGCCTTCCGGTTTTACAGTTTCCGGGGGGTAGTGCAGAGGAACTGAAACGTCATCGCGTGTGCAAACATGCGCCGCGTGAGGCGTGAGGCGTGAAAAGAACGGCCTGCGACAGCATCGGAAGCGATGCTAAACTTCCCACCTCAACTCCACTTCTCTGCCACCTTCCCTGTGTGAGGAGATTTTCACTACGTGCATCCTCCATCACAAGCTGAGCGGCATCTACATCAACAAGAGCCTTGGTGGCTTTGGGGACTCTGCTCCCGTTCGCTTTCGCTTCTTGGGCCCGACACATTAGGTACTTCGCACTTAAAAAATTGCTCAGTCTATCGGCTGTTTGGTGCTTTCAACTCCAAACCCCGAAATGCTCAACTGCACCCTATAGAGCCTAAACACTCAACACCACCAGACCATCAACCACAAGCCCCAAATCTTCGCAAGCCGTTGAGTGCAGGAGATGGAGGACTATCCTAAACCCTGAACCCTAAACCCTAAACCCTTACAAGCTGGCCCTAAACCCCGAACCCTAAACCGCAGGAGATGGAGGACTATCACCTGGCCCTGCCCGACTTCGACCTGCCCCGTGGCCTTGCGCTTTACGGCGTCTTCGACGGCCACGGAGGCAAAGTTTTTGTTTTCCTCTTGGCTGAGGAGGGTTTCGGGTTTAAGGTTGAAGGTTTGAGGTTTTAGTGTTAAGGCTCTGAAGTTCTCTCGTTTAGGCTTAGAGTTGAAGGAAGCCTGTTTCGGCCGGTGGGTTTCAACTTGGGCATCCTCAAAACACAGGAACTGCAGCTGCACTTGGTCAAGTCGCATCCCTCAGCCCCGAAAGCCTGTAGCGCTCAACCCGGCACCCAGAATCCCGCGGAAAAGCTCCAACAATGCTGATCCACCAGTGCTGCAGGAAGTGCTGTGGCAGAGATCGTCGCCGAGCGCCTTCCCCAGATCCTGCGTCAGCGGCCGGAGTATGCACGAGGTGAGTACCAGGAGCCTTGAACCCACTTCTACCAGGGTTGGAGGCATCTGAAGAATCCTTTTTGTCGCGACTCTGATCCTTTACGAAACATCCAGCAGTAATATAGGGGCCTTAACTATCATCTACACTATTCTGGGGTTCCTTATTATAAGATATTATAAGTATAGTATAGTATACACCAAAACCCCATTCTAGTTATTAAGGCCCCTATAGTAGCATCACCACCTTCAAGGGTTTTTCGGGAGGTTGGAAGAAGAGGCCTGAGATTCCTCCATGGCTTGCTTGCTGCTCATGGGTTTAGGGTTTAGGGTTTAGGGTTTAGGGTTTAGGGTTTAGGGGGTTGTTCCGAGCCATGGTGGGTTCTACATCTCTCAAAAGCTCTCGGAGCTGCCAACCCCTATATAAACCTTAAATCCTCGTATCATACGGCTATGGACAAAATCCTGCATGACCCTATATACCTAAACTATGGGATTTATGATACTATACTATATTTGGGTCATGCAGGATTTTGTCCATCAACAGTAGTTTTGATCCCTGTCGCGAGGAGGCGCTCAAGCAGGCATTTCTCGAGCAGGACAGCGCGGACGATGTCTCTTCCTTTTTTTCGATTCCGGGCTTTAGTGCGGAACGGGGTTGTGAACTCACAACAGCGCAACCTCTTGTAGTATAACAGAACCTGAACTGATTCAACAGTCTGCATATCGAAAAGCATATGTATATGGGGCACATGTTTATGTAGATCACGTGATCTTATTGGGCAGCTACACCTTGTGCCCCGGACCCCGACGCCCCAAAACGAACCTCGCGGCTGCTCCGGGCAGGATGACTTCCTGAGGAGTCAGGCGGGGTTTCCCCCTGAAATTCCAGAGCTCGGGACCTCGAGATATTGAGGCTTCCTAAAGCTGAGGGGGGGCCAGGGTCCTTAGAATAAGGAACCTAGGATTTCACGTCTATGCTGCGAGGTCCTTGCCTTCGGCAACGCCATGTTGGGGTTAAGCTCCTGCAGTTTGGAATCTCATGTTTGGCTTACATACTGCTGCTATCAGGGTTTAGGGTGGGTTTAGGGTTTAGGGTTTAGGGCTAGTCAGCCCGGTAGACGAGCGATAGATTCACTTTGTTCCCACTCGGCTTTGGTTTCTTATCATGAACAACCACTGTTGGTTCTGGCGCCCACCGTGGTGAGCTTGCGGGATTCTCGGACTCTCAGAAGGAGTCCCAAACGTCGAACCCCATGTACCACACAGGTGCCACAATGTCAGCCTTACACCGAAGAGCAACTCTGCAGCACCTGCACCCGAACAGCTTGAAGAGTAATCTGGCCTTCAATTTGGAAACCTCCAACCCCCCCTAAACCCTAAACCCTGAACCCTGAACCCTAAACCCTAAACCCTAAACCCTAAACCCTGAACCCTGAACCCTAAACCCTGAACCCCAAACGCTCAACCTCTGAGCCAAGCCACGGCCACCAGGCGGGCCGAGCTCGCTTGAAACGCAGCGGAATGGCCTCGGCGCTGGGCACCGGCACCACAGCGGCCGGGAGACCCAGTCCTGCCTCTCTTCAGGGCTTTGGGTTTAGGGTTCAGGGTTTAGGGTTTAGGGTTTAGGCTTAGGGTTCAGGGTTTAGGGTTCAGGGTTTAGGGTTCTCTTCTTCTTGTGGTGACGATGATGATGATGGTGACGAGCAAGACTAGGCGAAAGACAAAGCGGTGAGCAGGTGTAGGAGGAAGGAGAAGGCTGAAGAAACAATTGGTTCTGTCGTCGTACTGTTCTGTTACGAGTCTTTTGTTTCGGGCGTGAGCGGTCGAGATTGTCGGTTTCGGCAACTAGGGCCTGAGGGTTGAGGAGCAGGCGTCCTTGACTTCGGGGTCAAAGAATGCTGTTACATATTTAGCGCAATCGAACACGGTCATCCTGAACATGCATTTCTTGCCGTGGGATTCTCGGACGGAGCCCACAAGACGATGTGGGGAAGACTGGCGCTTGTCGATGTCCTTGGGTAGGTCCATCTCCGAAACCCATGAGCTATCCAAGATCCGAGCATCCATAGGATCCCGACCCAATATAGATAGGCTCCGGAAGGCCGTGTGGCAGTCTTTGCCGCCTAAGGTCGTAGCTTTGCTCTGCCGAGCATCCTTGCGCCTCTACGTGGCAAACTGCGGTGACTCTGTGGCACGTGAAGAGGTTTTCAATCTCCCAGATCGGGCACTTGTAGCAGGTCTTCCTCCAAAATACGCACTATGCTGTAGCACGATTGCCACCTCAGAATGTCATGCACTCCATTGCGACGTGAGTATGACTTTCGGACGGTGTCAACTCACAAGCACGCCACAGGGAACAAGAAGCAACGGCCATCTGTTGCAAATATGGGCCGCGTCGCAGCGGGACCCGCGGAAGCTTTGGGGAACCAAGCAGAAACTTGCGACACCCTAGTCTCATCAACCCCACCTAAACCGTAAAACCCTGAGCCCTAAACCCTAAACGCCGTCAAAATCCCTTGGAAACCCTATCAGATCCCTTACAAACCGTCAAAATCCCCTAAAAACCCCGATCAGATCCCTGCAGAGGCGACTCCAGAGCAGTCTTGGTCAGCGGTGCCGGCGCTGTGGCCCTGTGTGGGCTCCCAGGGTGAGTGGGGTTTAGGCGCTTAGGGTTTAGGGTTTTTGGCTTAATATGGCAGCCTAAATAATTACCAATAGTACTCGCCTTCGCTAGCATTTAGTTTCACCTCTTGAATTTGTTTTTGCATGTGGTACGTTCCAACCGGGACTTTGCACCGCCTGAAATAAAAAATAGTATTTTGGGGGTTCCTTATTGTACTTATAGTATAACATACCCCAAAACCCTAATCTAATGGTTGGGTTAATAGGGTGAATAGGGTTTTAGGAGTTTCGGGTTCATAGGGTTTTCGGGTTTACAGGGTTTAGGGTTTTAGGTTTAGGGTTGAGGGTTCTGCTTCCAGAATCACTGCACTCTCGTCACATCTTTCGCTATGCCTTCTTTGCGGATCCTTGCCGTGATGCAGACAGCACAAGGGAGCCGCTCTTTGGCCAAGCAACTGCACTTCCAGCAAGGTATGAAAGGAATGTTTGGCAGCGAATTGGCACATGGGTAGTTCCATAAATTAGGGTCCCTTTTTGGGTCCTTTTCATAAGGGTGCCGTACTATATTGGGGATCCAAAAAGGGTCCCTAATTTAGAAAACTACCCACCTGCAGGATTCAAGCCTCCAGGTCTGACGCTTAAATGCGGACGCAGCAGCCCACGCTTCGAAACGCGACAACTGACCCATTGTTGCTAATTGTGCCCTCTAGCCTTAGGGGTTTAGGGTTTAGGGTTTAGGGTTTAGGGGTTTAGGGTTTAGGGTTTAGGGTTTAGGGTTTAGGGCCAGTACCAAAGCCCCATGGCGGAGCCGCCCCCGAAGCGGCCACCGAAGCTGCTGCTGCTCCTGTGGCCCGGCACAAACAGGCGAAGCTAAGCTTCGGGGTGCTTGAGTGCCCATTTTTTCACGACCCTAATCCCTAAACCCTAAGCCCTAAAACCTAATCTCTACACCCTGAACGAAGACCTTCGGGGCGTCCTTGGGATAGAGTGTACGGGGCTGTGAGAAGTTTGGAGCAGACTGTGGCATTCTTTGGTCAGTGTGCTGCTCTGATAAAGCTTTCATTGCTTCATAATGATATTAGCAACAGTAATGCTAATAGTAATAATTATTCACAATAATACTAGCAGCAATAGACATGTTAATAGGACTGTAATAGCAATAGTAGTGGTAATCGTACTGGAAATGCCAAGTTTCAAGACACAAGAAGCGCAGTCGGACATCTCAACGCATCGAAGCCTGGACTTTCGCTTTTTTGTTGGCTTCCGTCGCCTGCTCCTGCAGCATAGGCTCGACGGTTGTCGACCAGATGCAGCCTGTCTGCATTGAGCTGCAATGTGTCGTGCGGTACTGCCTTGAAGGGACTTTGGTTGGGCAAAAAACCAGGCATGCACTCCCTGATAATGCATCAATGTCCGTCCTAGGCTCTGCTGGCAGCAGATGCGCCCAATGTACGTGCGCTGCTTCGGAATGCGAAGGCTCGTGGCCTGGAGATGTGCGTGTTCCAGGATGTTGGGAGCTTCAGGTTTTCCCTGAGGGTGCATGTCAAAGGTAACATCCAGCGCAGCTCCTGCTACAAGGCTGGAGTCTGCACATGGTCCATCACCAAGCGCTGCTAGTTCTGTGGCCTTATTCCGGTCGGGTACTGGGTGAAGTGAGCCACGCCGCAGCGTAGGCCTTTCGCTGGGTAAACTGGTCTAAACCCTAAACCCTAAACCCTAAACCCTAAACCCTGAACCCTAAACCCTAAACCCTAAACCCTAAAGTGTGTCCCATGCCTGCCAGGGTGGTGCTTCCTACCGCTGTGCCTTCTCCCTTCACTGCACGACAGGCTTGGCAACCAGCCCGAAAAACGCGCAAACCGTCAAACCCTGAACGGCTGAACTTCGAGATTTGCACGGTTTAGGGTTTAGGGTTTAGGGTTCCAACCCCGAACACTTGAGCCCTGAACCCTAAGCTCTAGCTTTGAACCCCCAATCCCTGGACCCAAATCCTACCACAACCCCAAGCGCTTGCATGGCACTCTGAGCTTTGCTTCCGGAGTCAGGCAACCCAGAAAGCCTCCCAGATCAATCTTTCCAGTTAATATAGAGGTCTTAATAATCAGAATAGGGTTTTTGGGGCCCATTAAACTCAGCATTGGTAATTATTAAGGCCCCAACACTACTTTTGTGGCTTAGGCTTTAGGGTTTACGGTAAAGCTACGAGTTGCTACTCATGTTGATGCGGCTCAAGAACAATATCCACAAGAACAGATTGCACGAGAAGAAAGAAAGGTACATGAAGAAACAAAGCTGTGCATTCCATAGTTGCCTGAAATCCCAAACGACTCTGGTAAATTGAAAGATGTATCCCTAAACCCTAAACCCTGAACCCCAAAACCGAGACCCTACACCTCAAATTTGCACTACACGCTGTGCCAGAACCGGTTCCCATCTCAGCTCCGTCGTGGGCTACGCTACTCACGGGGCGGCAGGGCAGCGAGCACCGCGTCTCCAGCAATGATCTGGTGGCTCTGGTCTTGTTACGTTGTTACGACTGTTGCTAGTAGTATTGCTGTTATTGGTGTTATTGCTGCTGTCGTTGTTATTGTTGCCGTTATTGCTATGATTGCGGTTATTAGTCTTGGCATCATGATTATGCTGCTGATTATTACTGGACCGACTTTCAAAGGGGTTCTTCAGGGTGTATGCCTTCAGAGCTTCAGGGTTAGCGCATCGAGTTCTGAAGCTTTCGGTTGCGTCTGGTTGGATATTAATGCCTGTAGCAAAAGAGTAGTAAGAGTACAGGTACTTATCAGAGACTCATCATACTAGTAGCAATGCCGCCTCAATACCAGTGCTTCGAAGTTACGGCCTTCGGTATGTAAGCCGGATGTCTGCTATCCGTACATGAGAATGGCGCATCCAGAAGGGTGGGAACATAACATTGCTGTTTTCCCATGGGGCAGTCTTCCTTCTGTTGTTGCCAGCAATCTTGTCCTTCCTGCTACTCTGATGCCGGTTGCTGATGCTGTATACTCTCGTCCATATCACATGTTTGAGTTGATTGCACTTAAAATCGGGGCATTAATAATTACCTATACTATTTTTTTGGGGGTTCCTTATTATGATTATACAGGAATATACCCTAAAGCCTTATTCAAATTCTGAAGGCCCCTACCTTATGCTGGTCTTATGAATTGGGTTGCGTGAGCCTTCAAGCCGGAGCGAAGGGATTTCACTCTGGATGTTTAGTCTTACCCAGGGAACCACAGCGAGGACCATCCAAGAGCCTAACCCTAAACCCTAAACCCTAAACCCTAAGCCCTAAACCCTAAACCCTAAACCCTAAACCCTAAACCCTAAACCCTAAGCCCAATACTTGCGGCACACTTCATGGTTGAGTTTCGCGATGTTTCGCGTTTTGGGTTTGGGACCCGTTCGGGAACACTACCCCTAACTCCCTGAATCTTTAGGTTGCGTTCCGATCTCCAAACCTGAATCTTAAGCTCAAGCCGCAGCAGGACGCGTTCCTCTCCACCGATGCCCAGGGGAAGGTCTTCGTGAAGCCCGGCTAAAGCTAGGGTCCGCTCTTGCTGATGAGGCCTTTCCGCATTCACTTTGTCATAGGTACTTAAACCCAATAAGGAATAGAAATTTAAATTTTTAATACTACCCCAACCATGAACTAGTTCATGCATTGATCTGGTCTTAGCCGTTTCGCTTCTCAGTCCCTGAAAGAACCCCGAAGCCCCAGAGTCCAAACCACCTTGAGCTGCTTGAGCTAGGGTTTAGGGTTTAGGGTTTAGGGTTTAGGGTTTAGGGTTTAGGGTTTAGGGTTTAGGGTTGAGCTGGAAAAGCCAAGGAAGACGGCTCCCTGCTACTGCCGGCCCCCGCAGCGTGCCTCTGCCTGCTTCGTGTCGGCCTTCAGCCAGGCCGTCCGTCGCCGACGGCGTTTGGGATGATTGTTTAATTTGTTTGGGGTTGTGGGTTCAGGATCATGTCAAGAGTACTTGTACTACTTGTAATCACACCAGTTTAATGTTCTTAGGATTTTGGCAGTTTGTGAGCAGAAAACAAGGGACCCAGGTACAGATCCTAAATAGTAGGATACTCTTTTTTCAGCGCCCCTCAATGAGACAGCGCTGGTTTTTGGAGCACAGTGCGATAGCTTTCAGCAAAACATGGAAATAGATCGCTACAGGCTATAGTCGTAAGCTTACGAAAACAGGCACCATGGTCCCGGATGATGATCACGAAGAAGAAGATGACGATGATGCTGCTGGTGGCGGTGGTGGTGATGACCCTGCTCATGATGACAATGCTTCTACCAACGCTAGCTACTACAAAAAACAAAACAGCATGTGAAATCGCTGCACTCGGCAGAGTAGCCAGTGTAATAGTGATGATGCCGTGAATAGTTAAAACACATATGTAAGATGACAGTAGGAATTCGGGTGGGGATGAGCATTTCAAGAACTCAGCAAAAACACCCTTGGTCGCCAGAGTCAGGGTTAAATGACAATACATTCATTCACATGAACAACGGCAAGACGGATGGTTATGATCCGTTCGTAATCTTCTGTTTAATTTGAGCGAAACAGACACAATAACTTTCATCTCATCATGGAACTTGTCTTTTCTTTTAAGTCTGCTGCTCGGGACTCACATCCAACTGCTGGATGTAGCTCTTTCACAACAGCCTTTGGAGTGTCTGGGTTGAGAATTTCAGCTGGTTGGAGGTTTCGTGGTTTGGTTTTCTTCTTTCCTGCGGCGCCCTGTAGTGGGCGAGGAATGAGGGCCCTCCTTCTGTGGCCCATAAACCGGAACTCCAAGTCCCGCAAGCCTACATGAATGAAGACGTCATGCTGGCAATATCACATGGGTAGTTCTCTAAATTAGGGTCCCTTTTAGGATCCTTTTTTTATAAGGGTGCCACGATATTGGGGACCCTAAAAGGGACCCTAATTTAGAGAACTACCCACATCCCGATGTGTGCTGACAACAGGCCAAGCGTCGACGGATCGGGGA